ATCAAAATTAAGAAATGCCTATATACTGTATGCCAGTATAATCAATAATGATTATTTCGGCTAAGACTCTATTTGAAATCTGTTATGTAGTCAGTTCCATAACTAATAATATATATTTTCTAATAAGCTGATGAAGTTAGAAGATAGATAAGATACAAGCTAAAGAATTAAAATAGTAAAGAAAAGATAAAAGACTATACCTGCAGAGAATCCTGGTTTTCAGAGCGACTAACAGGAGTATAGTCATGAAGAGAAGAGCTGTGAAGGATACTCATGGAAGCTGAACTCACCATGGAATTACCGTGTCTTCTGTTACTGCCAGCTTCTTGAGTATCTGCTCAAGGAAAGTTTACAAATTAATACAAGATTACTTTTCTCCCAACATTTTTAATCCATTGAGACATCTCTCCCTCCCTCCCTCCCTTCCACTCTCCCTCCCTCCCACTCTCCCTCCCTCCTTCCCTCTTTCTCTCTCTCTCACATATATACCTAGCAAATATTCTTTTAATAACTTTGGGAAGGGAGTGCCTTCAAGTCAGGCTTTGTCGGGACTTCCGGTTTGTTTCTTGTCAGTGTCAGTATGGAATCTGAGATTGTGTGCGGTTTCGCCTGAGCTCTCTTGCTGGAGGGTCCCAATGGGGACTAGAACCACCCTGGTGGGGTGGTGAAGAAGGGGGAAATCGCCTGGAGGGTCGAGGGGAGCCACAACTCCCCTCCCTGACAGGAAAATCCCTCCCGAAGGCAAGTTGCAATGGTGGTCTTAAAATGGCCACCACAAAGACGAAGAACATTCCGGGAAACAAAGTTTTGTGCTGGAGAGAGAAGTAGCAAGCAGAGTGTAAATCAGGCAAAGGACATCACTTTTGAGGTACCCCGGTATCAAATTAAAGGGCTATTTTGGAGGAAAGTGTGTGGAAGTGGCAAACAGAGAAAGTGAGAAAGAACATTGGTTTTTAAATTTGGATTTGATTATTCTATTGGACTAATCTGGAGGAGAAATTTAAAGGAAAATACATTAACACAACAAAGGTTTAAAAATTAAACTGGACAGATATTGAACTGTGGGCACTTACAAAGCATAACTAAATGCTGGAATTGAGTGTATTGAAAAGAATAGTTAATGATTGAAATTAGCGAGCTTAATAAAAATACTATATTTAACAAAAAAAGTTAAAAAGAAAAAGACTCAAGAGCGCACCTGATGGTACAGGAAAACTGTACCATGTTTTAAAATGAGTGTCTGGTCTTTTTGAGACTTTGGATTTTGGAACTTGAAAGAAAATAAAAGGAACTTTACTATTGCCAGTAATTTTGGAAACAGTTGAGAGGCCAATTAGAGGATTCAGAATAAAGATTCAAGAGTATGAATTGTTGAAAATAAACTCAAAAGATATTGGCTGAAATAATATACTGGACTCTGGGATTGAATATATCTACTAAAAAAGAGGATTTCAGCTATTAAGGAAGAGGAAAGAAAAAGAAAAAAGGAGAAGATGTAATGGAGGAGCTACTTGTTAATATAAGACTGGACTTACAAGACATAAGATCGGATATGCAAAATAAAAGGGACATGATAAAAATCAAACTTGAAATGTGTAACTATGTATTCCAGAAATTAGAAATGGTGACTCAGCATACACAAGAATATAATAAACCAGAGGAGGAGGAGTTTTATAAAGAAGAAGCCAACTCAGAAGGACAAAATGAACAACAATTATTTAGGCAGGGAGGGAAAGGAATTAGAATAAAAAAATTGTGGTCTAATGCGATGATAAAAGTGGGAATGGTTTGGAAAATGGTTAAAGAGAGAAGGGAAAAGGAGAAAAAGGAAGTGCAAAAGAAATATCAAAAGAGGGAGAGAGAAAAGTTTAATAACTGGAATCAGAAAGGGAGGGGAATAAGAATGGGGAAAAAGGGAATTAAGAGAAAGGACCAGAAAATAAAGAGGAAGAGGAAACAAACAAGGATGAAAAGAAGGTACACTGTTCAAAGAGTGAGAGATAATGGTGAAAAAAAAGGGATAAGGAAGGGGATTCCACAAGGCAATGTGTTGGGGTGTATAAGAATATATTGAAAATAGCATTTTGTAATATATAGATGATTTATAGAGAAAATATAATGTGGAATCTGAGATATTTATGTATTTATTTATTTATTTGTGTTTTATATTAGGGAGATTGATATTTAGGAAAATGAAGGTGGTTAGTTTGAATTATTAACTAGAGGGGACAATTATATTTACAGATAAGGGTTGATAAAATGACAAATGTGACAGAAAAAAATAACATGAGAAATAACAATAGAAAGGAGATGAGAATTTTAGATAACATTGTAAAATAAGCTATGAGAATATACTAAGAAAAATGGAGGAGATATATTAGGATTTGGAATTGAATAAATGAACATAGAATTGAGATGAGAATTTTAGATAATACTGTAAAATAGAGATAAGAGAATATGAATTGGGATTGGATAAGCTTAATATTTAATAATAAGGATGACGTAATATGAAATTAAACAAATAAAATGAATAGGTAACTATGGTCATGTTTGTATTGAGATGTGAAACCTGGAACCATACTGCTTGCCAAATGAGAATTTTTTATTTAAAAAATAAAATGAAAACAGGGAGAAAATTGAATAATGGAATTACTAGGTATGTTTAACTGATATGGTGGTAGGCATTTGGAGAGAGTAAGGTTGAAAATAAATATTGAAGAAGTATGAATTAATATGAATATATGCAATGAGATATGTATGATATATTGATGCCACACTGTTAATGTATTGTTGTTATATGTAGATTGAAATAAAAAAAAAATTGGAAAAAAAAAAGTCAGGCTTTGACACATGGTGACTGCTTAGATTAGCTTCTCCAGGTTTCCTGGCAAGATTTTTGATTTCCCCAATGCTTTCTTCGTAGGGTGGAGAGATTGGTCCAAGGCCACTCAGTTGTCTTTGTGCCTAAGACTAGATCTCACTAAACTATATCAAGCTGGGAGGTGACTTGAAGAATTATATTGAGAAATTTGAAATGTAATACCGGTATTATTTCAGATGTCAGGGAATAATTGTTGGATATCTGTTCTGGAAAAGGACAATTAGTATCTTCTATTTTTTGTATTTAGTATTTACTATTATATAAATAATACTATTTTAGTATTCAGAAAAATAGCATTTTCTACTAATCAGATAAAGCAATACGTATTACTTTATCAGATTTTGTGATACTTTATAACAAAATTTTGTACTGATTATATTATAATATTGTATGAGTAAATCAGTGACTATTGATAAGTATAAAATGTAATGTAGATTTCTCTCCCCCCCTTTTTTTAGATTGAGGATTTAGTTTGTATTGTCTTTTCCATTTTCTATTTTTTCCTTTGATGTCTATTTTTTTAAATTTAAAGATAGTTCTATTTCTTATTTAACTTTTAAGAATGTTAAATAAAAATAAAAAGACACATTTCTAAAATATCGAGATATAGATTCTATATGAACGACAAAATAGAAAGCACCTCAAATGATGCTTTATACTTTTTTTTAACACAGCAGAAAGGACAAAAGTGATCTAATTCTCCATTTATTATGAAAGATAAAATTCCATCTTTATTTCCATCTTTATGCAATCTAATAAATTCTGAGAATCCTACACTTGTTAAGCATACTTCTATGTGTCTCCAATTTTCATTTTGTCAAAGTCAGAAATATGGTATCTGTTTTCAAATATTTTGCTTTCCTTTTGAGGACTTAAACAAGGAATTCTCTTTGGTGATTAATATGGTAATCATGTTAATGAATCACCTCTTTTTGCTTGAAAAAGAACTGAATGATAGCCCAGAATTAAACCTCTGATTAAATAACAGAACATCAAGAAAGTTAAAAGGAAAATAAAGACACTATAAGAAAATGTTACCTAGTGTACTCTCACTTGGATCATCAGGATCTGGAGCATTACTCAGCAGACTCTGCATATCTCCCCTTCGGCGCTGTCTGTGTCTCCTCCGATACTGAAATTCAGCATATTCCTGCATAAACCAAACGTTACAAAATACAGGGAAGCATGCAGTAGTATATTTGGAGCACAACAAACAGCACGCTTAATGGAGAAAAAAAAATACTCCCTGTGATTTTATGCACTATAAAATCACCTGTTTCATAAAAAGTAAATAACTAAGTAGCAACCAACACCATGCAGTTTTTGTAAATAAAACTCCAAAAATAAATAAATTTGCTAAATAAATTCAGCTACTAGATCAATGAAGCTGCTACTGCTGCATGAGTGGTTGCATTTTGATGAGTATTTCAAGGCTATGAATTTAAACTAAATCAGCTTAGTATAATATATGCATGTATTATTTTATATATAATTGAGTGTGTATGTGTATGTTGTGTTTTGTGTGTCTGTATCTAAATTCAATATCCTTAAAAGTTGAGGATATATTTGATGTTAGGGAATAAATTCAATATAAACTCTGAGCCTGCATTAGTGAAACTGATATTGTATGCTCTTATTCTTTTTTATCAGTACTGATAACAATATAGCAGAGTAGATGAACAGACTTTTGTTTCCCTTCTACTTTTTGTATAATAAAATAAGTATTGCCAACAAAAATTTCCTGATGCCTCTGTTAAAACACTCAGCAAGTCTACTAGCTCAGCCTATCAAGTGTTCTTTTCTCTTGAGCTAATTACCAAAATAACCTGCAGCAGTTTTAGCGAGTGTCGTATTGATAAATTATACCTTTGGACTAAGCATCCTAGCAAACTCATTGTCATGAATCAGTCATATTCAGAAATGTCCAATTGATCTAATCAGCATATTTTCTCATCAACCTACTTATCATGTAATGGGGAAAAAAATTCTTGACTTTCAGTTCTGTGAAAGCCTGGAACATTTTTTGTTCAAAATGAAAACAGGGTGAATGTTGAATTATTTTCAGTCACTTTTTCTTTTGTTTTGTTTTGTCTTATTTTATTTTTTTGAAGGACCATAGAAATCTGCAGTCCAAATTATTTTGAAGTATACCTAGTCCATAATAATGATGTGTAATGTAAAATAAAATAGGTGGTAAGCTAAAAATTGAAATAATAGGGGATAAAGATTTTAAAACTTATGTATGGATGAAATGATATTGATATTGAATCAATGAACTGAAATATGAAATGCAAATTTATTTTAAGATGAGTGAAATGGATAATGATATGAGTTAATATTATATAAGATTAATGGAAATGAAAGTATGACTATGTACAAGTGTTATAATCTGGAAACGTTGCTCATGTAAAAAGATGTATAAAATTTAAAAAATAAAAAAACTTTTGGGGAAAAAAAAGAAGTCTACCTTGTCCTAACTGATAAGTATTCTTTATTTAAAAAATCAAGAACACAGTTCAAAAATTTGAGTACACATCTACAGTAGCAATGGAACTTAATGGAGGACTTCTGAACAGTCATTGTAGACATATCAGCAATATTTATTAGTTGTCCAGAAATAGTATGTATTTCACATAAGCATAAATAGCTTTAATTTCTGACTAATTCAGAATGTGATGGATAATGGATGGGGGATACTTGAAAAGACTGTACATTATAATGATATTTTTTCTAACTAATACCATAATCAGATTCTGTCAGTGATATAAAATACATGAAATAATTCAGAGGAGTTTCTTGGGGAAAAAGTCAATGATAAGAATTCTGAATTAGACAAACTTTTCATCTAATGCTTCTAAGGTGATTTTTTTTTTACTAACTTGCTTCAACTATTCAAAATATTCTCATCTTACTTAAATATTGATCAAGTTTAGTTTAGGTAATAATTTCATTGTTTAGCATTATATAATAAACAGGCACATTCTTAAATAAAATCATTAATTTCTCTTATACCAGTTATACAGCAGTGCAAACTTCAAATAAGATTAGCTGATTTTGAATAATTAAAATGTTTTATTGCAAACATTTAATTATTGGAAAAAAGCCAGCCAGTTTATTTGACTATAAGAAGCAAACTATGGTCTTGCAAGCATAATGCTATCCAGTGACTATAAAAAGAAAATATGCATAAGTATGCAATTATATAAATCACAAACAATCCTAAAGAAAGGATTGAAGAAAAAAATATCCTTCCTCTCTATCCCAGTTAATTAGCTTCATATTTTCATATTTATATTTTATGTGCCTTTAGCAAGGTTTATTTTTTCATTTTGTAATCTTTTGTACCTGCTGATGATACATTAGGCTGGATCTAATTGGGATCAAATAGCTACATGGATAGTGTTTCTTTCCTGTTCATTTTTCCAGTTTTTATTCAGTCCACTGTGCTATCTTGCAACAGTATGATGAATTCATTTATAGAAATGATGGTGCTAATTGTAAGGCACAGATCAAAAACAAAATGCTAAAGATAAAACGACATAGTCAACTATGCTGCTACACATGTGAATAATGTTCCTGCATAGGAACCTGGGTCAGGGTTGCAACAGTCTTTTTGCTGGAAACACTCACCACCAAATGGATACACTTGATCATAGTTTCCACCTGTTCCTTTAATTTCCCAAAACTGGCTCAGCCCTTGAAAAAAAGTGAGTCTTTATGAGACGTGATAGATGAGATAATAGCTGAGTGACTCCACAGATGACCATCTGAAGAACTACAGTCAGAGGTAAGCAATCTGTATTTTTAATCCATGATCTCTCTGGTTCTTTTGTAAAGCTAAGTAACAAGCTTACAACAACAGAGATACAAGAATATGCCAAAACACAAGTACAAAAGAGCACTAGCCTCTGAATTTTTTTCTGTAAATTTTTTTCCCAATCATATTGAATGAAACATATAAGGTTCTGATCAAGCAGTTACTTTACAATGAAAAGAAAATAATTTTGGAAAAACTTTCTATAAGATCTCTGCTTGCAAAGTGGCAGGTAATCACTTTGCAGAACTCTGAAGTAAGGTTAGCCAACTTTGGTAGCATATGAATAACCGAAGTAATACAATCCACAAAAAATCTAATGCTCTACAAATACCTAAGGTATGATGTAGAAAGATATGAAGCAGGTAAGACAAATAATTAGTAGGAAGCAGAAACAAGTTTGTGAAGAAACTTTAAATAAAATCAACATGTTTAGTTCTTGTAGTATAGAAATAACACGATCAACTCATAAGAGCTCACAACCGAATAAAAGATTCTTGAAAAGTAAGTGAAATTAAATATAGATTGTAGAAAGTAATTTAAAAGTTCCTAACAAGATCAGAAGTGAACTAACTCATCCATTGGCTACATATGAGTAATGGTGCCTTTTAAACTGAAGCCAAAAGTTTCATCACTTCCTTTGAAAAGAAATCAGTGGAATAATTCACTAATACTAATGGAATAACCTTTTGTGATAAAATACTAAAATCTGTAATTTGCAGCAATTGAAAGTAGTACATGCCATTCTGTGAAATCATTGACTATTGGACCCACAGAAACAAAATGCTAAAAATGGCCATACTGTTAAAACCACAGGAGGCTAAAACTTTGCATTTTAAAATCAGACCAAATCTAACCTGCTCTGTGGTATATCCATCTGGTTTAAAAATATAGAAAGAGCTTTTTTAAATTATCTATTTCCTTTATGTTCAAGAACACTACTTAGATTTTATTAGATGCAATGCAATGGGGGGAAAGTATTAGAAAATGATGTGACCACCTGAACCAGAGATTATTTAAAAACATCATTATTGGGACTTGTTTAGAAATGCTCAATTCCAGAATGGTCTCCCTACAACTGGCTAGAAGGTCTGAGAAGAATATTAAAATTAATTCAATGCAAACCACCAACTTTTTCTTTGATTTGATGGACAATTTATATATAAACAAAATCAGCAATTCAATAGAATTGAATAGAATTCTCTATTGGCCAAGTGTGATTGGACACACAAGGAATTTGTCTTGGTACAAATACTCTCAATATACATAAAAGAAAAGATACATTCGTCAAAGAGGCAAGAATCATCAGGTACAACAGTTAATAATAGTCATAGGGTACAATAAGCGATCAAATCATACTAAGAAACAGTCAATATAAATCGTAAGGATGCAAGCGACAAAGTTACAGTTATACAGTCACAAGTGGGAGGGGAGGGGTAATCAGAAGATAATAGGAATGCAAACTTCAAGAGAATATACCTACTTTTTCTGAAAAACAAGATGCTTTTCTAAGATAGATATCATTTGGATTTTGAAGAGTCTGCCTAGTAAGGTTTCTAAAGTAGGGATACTGCCAAATACTTTTTTGGATCATAATCCTATGAATTTGTGAAAGAAAATCCAGTTCTTAAGTTCTATAGAAATAAGAAATACTGGAGTATTGTAAAAAAAAATGTTTAGAAATAATTTAGATAAAAGTATTGGTTTAAGAATTGTTTGGGACAAAAATAAAATTTTTATCGGAAGTTATTTTATACAACATAATAAAACAACATAACAAGACAAACCAATAACAAAAAAGAGGCAGAAGAAAACGCCAGGTATATTAGATAATATAAGGAGAAAAAAAAATTAAATAAATTTCCAGACAAGGCAAGATGTCTCAAGTTCTACAATGACTGTTATCTATGTTAACAGTTAGATAAATGGAAATAAAAATGAACAATATAAAGAAAAAAAAAAGAAAAAAATCCCTTGAGTTTGTAAACAAACCAGATAAATGTCTGGCATATACATTACAAAAAAGAAAATAATGTTGAAATTACAAATGTAAGATACTGTACTAATGGATAGCATGATAATACGAAAGGCATTTCACCAATATTATTTCAACTTGCATAATGCAAGTAACGTATCTCTGAAGAACATAGATGTATTCCTAAATTTTATTGAGGATTACAAAATAACAGAAACAAATTATGAATGGATCTATAACAATAACAATAAGGGAAATTTGTGAAGCTATACAAAAGATTAGCTGAAAAGGTGCCTGGATTGGATGGATTACTAGGTTCTTATTATAAATGTTTTGAGGATGATTTTTTTACAACTTTTACAAAATACAATTAATATCTTACAAGAAACAAAAAAGTAAGGAAGTTGGAAAGAGGCTAATATGGTAGTAATACCTAAAGAGGAACAAAATTTGGCTTTACAAGGAAGTATAAATTGAATCATTATTGAATGAGTAAAAGTTGTTTACAACATGCTAACTGACAGACCAAAAATATTTTTTAAAGAATTTATTCATGGGGCTCAATATGGATTTTTACCTAAAATAGTGTTACAGACACTATTAGAAATGTGCTGGACATTTTGGAATATTTGGTATAATAAAAACAAGCCACTTGATGTTCTTAGATCTATAGTAGTCCTTGGATTGGACCTCCTTGTTCAAATTTTGAAATAATTTGAATGTGGCTTTCTTGTTCAAAGTTTTGTAAGATAATGAACTTTGGAAAGAACTTTATAAAATGTAAGAATGATTTATACTTTAAAGGAAGCATGAATAACTACTACTGGAATCAAACAAAGGATACAGAAAGGAACAGGACAGGTATGTGTACTGTCTCCTATCTTGTTTACTTTGGTTCTTGAAATACTGAATAAGAGGATTGAGGGAATTAGAGGATTGAGGGAGTAAATATTTTTAAGAAAACTTTACAAGTTAAGGGCTTTTGCAAGTAACTTTATGTTGTTTTTGAATGTTTTCTTAGCAGCACCCACTCTTTCATCAGACAAAATTGTCTAGAAAGCATAAAAGCACTTCAAAATTACCTTGGAAATGTGAACAATAAGAAGGACATTCATCCCTCTTGGTAGAAGTACAGAATATTTTGGGTTCAAATACATTGATTCAGAAAATTTTAAAGTTTAAGGTACAATTGAAACAGAAATCTTTCTTCTGGAATTGATGAACAAAGAATTGGAAAAAGTCTGAGAACTTTGATTTTTTTTAATGTAAGTACAGCCAGATTATTGTACTGTATTTATATACTTTCTGCAATACCTACAATGGAAGATTGGTTCATGAAGATGATGTAACTTGCTGAGATGGCCAAACTGATTTACTTGATTAGGGAAAAGACATGTTTATTATTAATTGGAAATCCTTTATGGACTTTTTGCATATAACAGAAAAAATGAACTTATGGTTTACATTTTGTTGATTAGATATGAGATTATAGAAAGACAAGAATCATATTGAAGCTTTAGAAAAAGAGGTAAATTTATAAATTGTACTTATAATTGCTGTAAAGAAGACTGAAGCCACAAATTGTTGTTATCTTTTTCCTTTCTTTTCTATTCCCCCTTTTCTTTCACTTTTAGTTTTTCTTTGATTTCTATCTCTTTTTTCCTTCTTATGTATATTAGTTGGTATTAGTTTTGATCTTCATTTTTAAAATATTCAATAAAGTTATGAAAAAGAAAGAAATGCTCAGTTTAAAATAATATTACCAATTACAACTCCAGAGAAGAGGTTGCCATAATCATTATCATTTTCAGAAGTACAATCCCTCCAAGCTTGTTTAGTGAAGATGAGACAAAGTGATTGTCTATACTCAGAATACTTCCTGAAGACTATTTTATATGCCACAAACTCTGCAATCTTTTGAATGGTGCAGGTTGGAATGGAGTGAAATTGCATGTAGACAATACATTTTTAAATACATTTTTTAAAAGGCAAGATTTACAAAGATAAAACTAAAAGAAACAACACATTTTTTCCTTTGTCATCCATAAAGAAAAACAAGAGGAAACAAATGTTCTCTGAGAAGAAAAATTCAGATGTCATTGCCTGTTTTGCTGTAAGAAAAGGAACTGCCCAGAGAAGGGGAGAAACTATAGCCAGGAATATGCATGCTTGGATAAAGATATTTCTGCCAAAAGATCTTCCACAGCGCTAGATGTTTCCTGTATTTCAAAAATTTTATTGGTTTATCTGAATATAAAATACAAAAGAAAACAATTAGAAAACAAGGGAGGGAAAAGGGAAGGGAGAAAACTGTAGGGCAGAGGAAAAAGAAAAAAGAAAAGGCGTTGCCTTTCCACCTAGATGTTTCCAACATGAACTCTGTGCAGAAGCATCAACTTTATGGGCAAGATACCAAGAGCACAAAGAAAGATAAAAATATTGGTCATCATACCGCACATGTAAAAAAAAAAAACATGTTTCCATAATACAAAAAGAAAGTTAAATTCTTCTGGCTAATCTGTTACAATGTTACATCTAGCTTTTTTTGTTTGTGATCCAATGCCTGTGCAGAAAAAATTTAAAATGGTCTTACAGGAACAAATGCTTATTGAAAGGCCAGATTTTAAAATTCTTATAACGATATAACTATAGCCAAGTAAGAAGCATTTTTTAAAAATGAAAATTATGTACCAATAACATAGCTAAA